AACAAACAGTGGGAAGGAAGGGTTGGAAGTGTGAGAGGAGGAAAGTATATATCAGAAATACATTTTCAGTATAGGAAAATTATAACTTCCAATACAGTACATTACCTCCATTCACATAAATAGCTAGACTCCCACACTAAATACGTGGAGGGACCGGTGTGAGGGAAAGAAAGAAGCATCATTCAAAAGCGTCTGATGTGTGGAACCATACCACTTCTGAACCAGGTATACTCTTCGTCCATCATAGAAAGGTATCTCATATATGGGCAGAAAACGGAGGAGCACATGCAACTGCGGGAGAACTATGGCCTGAAAGTGGTCCAAACTATGCAATATTTATGAAACTCAATCCCAGAAATTATAAAAGGGGGTAAAATGAAAAGGATGTGCCCCTAGGTGTAGAGTGGCTAGGGCGCAATGGACCATACATGGCAAGTCAACTACATCCAAAACCCATGTGGCTGGAAACTGACATCCATGCAAGGATAGGATGAGGATCATACTGTTAGTAAGTCAACTACAATCCAAAACCCGGCTACCAGGTACCAACATCTATGTGAGGGTAGAAAATAGGATCATACCACTGGCAAGTCGACTACAATCCAAAACCCAGGCCACCAGGAACTGACATTTATGTTGGGTTAGGAAAGAGGATCATACCAGTGATAAGTCAACTATAATCCAAAACACATTAATCTAGTGGAGATAGGAGAGAGGATCATACCATCTTCACCTCAAGTTCATGAGACTGGAGGGAATCTAGTTCCCCCCAACTCATTAATGGGGTTTATGTGAATATGATAAATTGATAAATCAAACTTGGAATCTGGTATCAAAAATATGTCTACATAATTATAAACATTTACCTCAAAAGTGAAATTGATTGGAACCACCCCAGGCACATTAACATCCTCGGAATAAAAAACATCGAGATAACAGAAGGGAAAGAACTGTAACAATGTGCAATTACCTCCATCATGACCCAAAACACTGATTGATTATAAATGAGTTAAAAAGATAGACATCTATAATACATGTGTGAGGACTCATGTTGACTGGTTCTGCTCTAACTCCAAAACCTGGCCACTCGGGACCAATATCCCCGTGGGTGTAGGATGGGGAACCGAATTAAAAGGGTGAACTGCAATTTTGACGTCTCACTCCTACTTGTTTTTATGTTTCATATTGGAGGAGATCACGTCATTTACAACAGCAGAACACCATCGCCCCACTCTCAATTGAATAGTTGTGTAATAATTTCTATATTTTGATTATATTTCATTAACTCATTCAAGAAGTATGCCTCCATCGTCCACCACCCCAGCAGCTTGTAACTGGAAAGTGGTAAAGACTCTCAAACTCTACTAGAAGAAAAGGGGGATAAAATGTGGTGGAGAGTCTGGAGGAAATACAACACCTAAGACAGTGCAATGGGTAACCATGGAACCCTATTTTTAAAAGCAGACCATACCAATTTGTTCAATACAAGGCATGGCAGGGATGGGCAGCTATCCTCTTCTGCTTTACCCATGTAGTCCATGGGTGGGTACAGTCTAGGATGAGCGAATTTATGGAACACCCCATCTCTGCAATGTGCCTTGTGTGGCCATGGAATTATAATATGTAAGTCGACATGGTTTAACAGTGTGGACTTGAAAGGTTAAGAATACCTCGTCATGAAGAGCCTGTATATGAGTATGACTTATAGGGATAAGTGCTGCCATGGAAGACCACATACCCAAAAGTGATAGAACCTCATGGCTGTAATAGAGGAAACAGTACGAGCATGAAGAACTGAAAGCTCCATAGAATGTCGTTGAAGAGAAAAGGTTGGGCCCGACTGAGATGGGTATTGAAAAAAACACTCAAATGAACAAGATATTGGGTAGGTTAAAGGAATAACTTCTCCAACTTGATTAACCAGCCCACTTGAGCCACCACCAGGAGCAGCTGATTAGTGTGATGAATGGACTCCTGTTCAGAATGAACTAACAGTAGCCACTCGTCCATATAATGATGAAACACAACCCGAGAGCATTTGGGGCCGAAGCAAGCCCGAAGGGCAGTGCACGAAACTGATAAACCACCCTGTGATGAGCAAACAAAATATATGGTCGCGGCTGACGAGATATCTGGATATGCAAGTAAGCATTCGCGACATCCACCCAGTCTCAAGTACATTGTCGAAAACAAATTGATGAAGAAAATAGGCCTATACATAATTCTCTTAGATAAGTTGGTGGCAAACGAACCTGGGACAAGGCCGCATCGCGACCCAAAAGATCCCAACAACAGAGAAACCACGTGTGTAAAGCAAGAGCTGAAGATGACAAATGAGCCAACATGAAGGTAATAAGGGAGAGGCTGTCCCTCGAAAAATCCTCAGGATCTTGGTGTATCGTCTGGAAAAGGAGATTGATGGTAGATAAATACCATAGAAGTGAAGTAAGGGTAAGATGAAGGCATGAAAACTGGGCATGAGTTAATGGAAAACCAGGGATCGTCTCCCACACAGGTAAAATATACCACTGTTGCTGAGAGTCGAGAAAGGAGCAGTCAGCTTGAGGTAAGTCAAAGGAAACCGATCCATAGCCCATGAAGGGTGAGGTATGCTGGCACCTTGAACCAATTGTGAAGTAAAATGCTCAGCATGAACCCTAATATCCAGTGAGGGTGGGAAAACTAAATACATAGAGGAAGAACTATCATACAACAATGAAGGATGGAGATCTTAGGACATTGGGGAAATGAATAAAATATCACATACCTGAGAAATCATGTCTAAAAATGCCGTATTAAGCCTAGCTGATTATGCAGGTTGGGCATAGAAAGACACTGGAAAATCCGGTGGTGGAAAAAGACTATCAAAATCTTCATCGACTAACACATTCGGCGTGTTCAGGAAAAAGTGAGACAAGTTCAAGAGAATGTGATTGACCCATATAACGATCACTCTCGGCGGATAATCGCAGATAAATCCAACGACGGGTCACCCCCACCTGCAGCCTGTGAAAGAGTGCTTGTATGAGGTATGATACCCGAAGTGATAACATGAACCTCAGAATTCATTTCTAGAATATGAATCAAACAAAAATGTTTGATAGACAAATGCAAATATGAAAGAAAAAATTAATGACTGGGGAATTAAGTTAAAGTAAAGGGCGTGTTCAATATAACGAAAGAATGAATGAAGATATTCCACTTTGGAATTGAAACTATCAAATTACGAGTGCAAAGCACACGAAAAGCACCAAAAGCAAAAAAAAAGAAACATCTGAACACGAATACTGCAAATCTCTGGTTCTATATACTGGATAGAATGAATAATAATTTGAAAAGTAGATGAGATTATGTGTGCAACTATGTTTGCCAACAGAAAAAGAACAAAGGATGAGTATTAGAAACAACTCAAATTGTTTATTTACACCAGTTAATTTAGTTAATTTATTTTACTTTAATACGTATAAGAAATAATAAAAACACATCTGCAGCTCAAAAAGGAGAACTGTGATTTACTTTTAATCAGTTTAAACTGTATATGCTATCAACAACAGTATCTGCTGAGAGTAGAGAGCTATAATAAAGATATCTTTGTATGAAAGCAGTTATATTTCTCTGGTTTTAGTTTAAATATATAGATACATAACATAAAATACATAACTGTGGGATAGCGATAAATTAATACACAACTAAGTATGAAAAACTCACTGTTTCAGCTACCCCTTCCAATTAAAGCTTTTATAAATATATCCTAACAATGCATAGTCACGATAACGTTCTCTAAGTGGTATTCTAGGAATAAAGAGCTTTTCTGCTAAGTCTGCTGCAATAATACAACCACTATATCGTAATGTTACATCTCCGTTTGTTAATTAACTTTCCGTAA